CATGGGGGGGTGTACGTGTGAGCGTAGGGCCTGGATGCCTGGGGTCTGTGTGTGCCGGTGTATGTCTGTCTCTCTTGGACACTGGGCGTACGTGTGTGTGGCTGTGGAGGGGGGCAGCGCTCTGTGTGTGTGTGTGGGGGGGGGAGGGGCTTGGATGTCTGGGCTGTGCGTGTGCAGGATGCTTGCAAGGGTTGTGTGCGCGCACTCTTGGCTTTTCTGCATGCCCGGGTTTTTGTATGTACCGGACACCTGGGTTCTTGGCATGTGTGTGTTTCCATGTCCCAGATGGGGGGGAGGCCTGGGTTGTGTGCGCATGTGCAGGTTGTGCGTGTGTGTGTGTGTGTGCGTGCACCCACGTCCATCCTGGACACCTAGGTTCTCCGAGTGTTTCCCAGCCCAGACATGACCTCCAGAGGTCAATCCCTTCTTCTTCTGACCCTGTGGATTTGAATTCAAGCCCAGAGATCTGTGGGTGGGCTGTACTTTGCGTTTCCCCCTGGGTTGCCTGAGGGGGGTCATTTGGGAAAGGACCTGTCCCCAGATAACCCCACCCTCTTGTTTCAGGATGCCCCAACCCCAGCTCTCCCCTCACCAATGGGGGTTGAGTTGGGCTGGCGCTACCAGTCACCTCTGAAGGTCTCCCCAGCTGTAGCCCAATGTTGGGGTCCCCTGTGGGGGATTATCCAGGGGGACCCCTCATCTCTAACAGGGGTCTCATTCCTTTCAGGGGATGCCTTGAGCTGAGGACCTGAGCCCGGATCAGCCTGGATTTTGTGGCCCTTCCCCACCCCCATCAGAGGAAGGGAGTCACCACGGCCTTTTCCTGCTTCCAGAGGCTGCTGGGAGATTTTGGGGGGGGAGACGCTGAGATTCTTACTAGTGCCTGAAGCTGCCGGAAGAGGCCGGAGAGGGTAATTTGAGGGGCGAGAGACTCTTGGGTTTACTCAGAGGCTACAGCTGCCTGCAGTGACCATCCCTGACCACACGGCCTGCCTGTAGAACCAGGCTCCACCCACTTCCTGTCCAGCATCCTTCTAGACATCAGTGGACCACAGCTTCCCCCCTGCGCCCCAGAATCCAGACTTTGGGGGCCCCTGAACTACCCTCCTGAGCAAGGTGCCCCTGAGACTGTGAGAGGGGTCTGGATTCAGAGTTCCTTTAGCGCCCCGTAACCTAAGGAGGCCAGGAGATTAATTTTGGGGGTGCAAGAGACTCTTCTATCTACTCAAGGAGTCTACAGCTGCCTGCAGTGACCATTCCCAGCCACACGGATGCACCAGGTTGTATCTACTAGGGCTGCCTATAGAACCAGACATTATCCACTTCTGCATAGACCTCCAGGGGTCCCAATCCCCAGACTTTGGAAGGCCCCTTCTGGCACCTGTGACCTGAGGAGGCCAGGAGATTAATTTGGCAGGGGGATCAAGAGACCTTACACCAGGCAACTACGGCTGCCTGCAGTGGCCATCCGTGGTCATACGGGGAGGGTGTCTGGTCATACCTGCCAGGCCCGCCTGTATAGAGTATTTCCACCCCCCTTTTCCTCTATGGTTCTGGGCCGGCTTCGAGCCTGGCTCCCCAGCTTCCGTTGGAGGCGGGGAGCCCCCCAAGACCAGCAGAGCCCCCCAAAACCAGGGTGGGAGGTAGGAGGGGATGGGATGCTGGCAGGGGACCCCACAAGGCCACGATGGGCAGGTACCCAGCGCCTCCTGGCTCTGGTTGGCTGGGGGGCACCAAGGGGGGAAGGGGAGGGTCTTGCAGCCCCCCGGCGGCCTCCAGCACCCCCTGAGCACTTCCAGATTTGCTTTAATTTCACCCGGCACCTCTTTGACCTAGGGGTGGTCACCTTGCTCTGCGCCTCAGCGCCTGCTTTCCGCCTGGCCCTGGATGTCCTGGGTCTCCGGGGAGTCCTGGGAGTCTGGCTCCACGGCCTGGCCTGCTTCCTGGTCACGGCCTCAGGCCTCTACGCAGCCCTGTGGCTGGTCCATGAGTACCTGCTGCCCTTTGCCTGCCTCTATGGACTCCTCCAGACCTTTGTCCTAAGCGTCAGCCTCCGGGCAGCCCCAGGGGACGGGGAAGAGGATGAAGGGGCCCTAGAGGCTGAGGGGGAGTCAGGGGGCGAGGGTGCAGGGGAGACAATGGACTGATAGCCAGACAGCCAGACACTGGCTCTGGGAGCTGCCCCCTGCACTCTTAATTCCTGGAAGGGGGCAGCTGGGAGTGGGGCAGGGGGCTTTATCCCCACCCCTCTCCTCCAGGGGGTGCTGGAGTGAGGTATTGGAACCACTAAGATGTGGTTCAGTCCTGAGCCATATCCATTGAGGTGGGGACAGGACCCTTAGGGGTGGCACAGAGAACCCAGGTATCCAGGCTCCCACTGCTCTCACCCTGCCCCACAACTCCCAGTCCCCTCCCAGAATGGGGGGAGAACCCAGGCGTCCAAGCTCCCAGCTCTTATCCCTGAGCCCTATTC